TTTTTTTTTAAATTTTTGATATAAGGTCTCTCCAAGTTTCAGAGATTGGCCTTAAATTTGAGTTCCTCCCTCCTCAGCCTCCCCAGTCGTTGGGACTACATGTGTGCACCACCTTCAATGGGAATAGTCTGAAAAAAAAAAAAATTCAAACTATTGGATATCTCTAAAAGAGACAGAAAATGGGATTGGAGTGATGCAAACAGGAGGTAAATTCTAGAATTACAGTGTTAGGCATATCAATAGACGCACCCTTTTAAATTTCAAACTATATTTGCATGTGTTTGCTATATATTTTCTTTGACTAGACGCATAAACATATAGATAGGTATTCCTCTATATCCACAGGGGACTGGTTCCAGGACACCCTATGGATACCAAAATCCACTGATGCTCCCAAGTTCTTTGTATAAATGGTGCAGTATTTGCATAGAACTTACACAGAGCTTGCTGTATACTTTTTGTTTGTTTTGGGTGATGAAGATTGGTCCCAGGACCTGGTACATGGTGAGCTGGACCTACACTTCTAGCACACCTACATAATCACTTCTAGATGACCACTATTTACAATACCTAATACAATGTAAATATTATGTAAATAGTTGTTAAACTGTTATGTTCAGAAGAAAATGACAAAAGTCTGGACATGGTCTGTATAGACACAATTAAAAATATATATTTTCAGTCTGAGGTTGGTTAAATCCTCTGATGAAGAACCCACACATACAGAGAGCCAACTGTACAACATAACAACATTTGAACACATTTTTCCTAAAGGTCTTCTATGGCAGACATACTGGTAAATGGTTTTTAATCGAGTTCAGCAGGAGGAGCTCTTGAGCACTGACCATGGGGAAACCCCGTGTCTCCCTGTCTGCCAGGTTGCTGTGGGTTGAGTGGCAGGTGACTGGCAGTGATGTGTGATCCAGCCAGTGTRTGCCTTCAACCAGTCCACAGTTCTGCAGCAAGGATGGTTTGAAAAACTAGTTCCTGGACCTTGTCTGTCCTCTCACAAAAGGAGCATTGGTCCTAAATCCTCTGGCTCCTTTTCTGCATGTCCACCTTCTGCCCTTCAAGCCCAGTCCCCTTTGCCAGCTGCTGTCTCTGCTTCCAGCCATGCCGGATGGAGTTCTGGACACGACTGTCCGCGCTGAGGAGGCGGGGAGTGAGGAGGACCTGTATGAAGACCTGCACAGCTCTGGCCACCACTACAGCCACCCTGGAGGGGGCGGCGAGCAGCTGGCCATCAACGAGGTAGGGTCAAGACTGTGTGGGTGGAGGGAGGGACAGGGCTGGACCCAAGCTTGGCAGATGTGGCCTGGCTGCCAGGGCAATTCAGCAGACTCCCACGGGCCGGATGAGCACAGTCCTATTCAAACACATGGTGTGGCACTGAGTGCACACAGCATGTTACAGCCTGTGGCTCTCACTCTAGGGTGAGGTGTTTAGAGCAGTATGTCCAGACATAGGGCTCCATTGTTCCCTTCTGGGACCCAGAGAGGATCAGAAGAGTAGGCACATGTGAGTGTTCCAGCCCTCCTGACACTGCTCCCCTAGGAGAAGGAAGCCCTTTGCAAATATGTCCTGGTGGGTGGAGCACTGCCTGTCAGAAGAAGTCAGGGGCCCCCAGTCACTCCAGCCCCCACCCTCCAACAAGCCATAAGCATAGGAAGACTGGGGTCAAGGCCAGGGAAAACTGATTTCTTACCTGTGGACACCAACAGCTCCAAGTATTGCTGTTGCTATGACAACTATGTGCCCCTGTTCTTACCTAAGCCGAAGAAATCTGAGCAGAACTGGTTCCCATCCCTAGTTTTCTTTTTGCATTCTCCAAAAAAAAAAAAAAGAGAGACGTTTAAAAATATTTTTAATTTTTATTCGGTGCACATAATAATTGTACATGGGGCACAGTATGACATTTCAATAAATGCCTACAATGTGTAATGATCAGATCAGGGAAACTGGTATATCCATCACCTCAAACATTAATCATTTCTTTGTGTTGGGAGCAATAAAAATCCTCTCTACTAGCTATTTTGAACTTTTCTTAATTGTTGTTAAGCAGCATTATCTTGCTATGCTGTACAAGACTAGAAATTATTCATCCTGTCCAGCTGTACCACAGCATCCATTAACCATCCTTTCTTAGCAAAGAGAAACTTTGAAACTTTGWTTCTCCTCTTTTTTCTCACTTGTGCTCCTGTTTTCTTGCCCTCTTTTATCTAAAAGTGGAGTGGGTGGTGGAACATAATGGTAGTTAACCAAACGTTCAGCACAAGCACATGCCCCTAGCAACACCATGTTCCCTTGGCTGTAGATTCTGTTGTGTTTCTGCTTCATTAGAACCAGAATCTTGCAGCACTTCAATTTTTCCTCAGAAAAGGATCCATTTACAATTGCCCTTTTACATTTCTTGAATGAATGGGCCGGTGGGCTTCTCAGAAGCCAGTGCAGAGTGCAGTGCCCCAGTGTCCCCATGACTAAATAGTAAATGGTGATGAACTCTTCTTAGAAGCCTGGCTCTAGATAATGATTTTTTTTTCTTTTGGCAGTATTGGGGATGGAACCCAGGGCCCCAAATGTGTGAAGCAAGTGCTCTATCACTGAGCTACATCTCCAGCCCCTCTGGAAAATGATTTAAAATTGTTTATCAAATATCCATGAAGCATAGAACATAAACATGCTAATAAAACCTATCTCTCTTTTATTTTTTCTTGCTGCTGGGGATTGGAGCCAGAGCCTAAGGCATGCTAAATATGCTCTATCACCGAGCTATACCTCCAGCTTCCAACCATTCCTTTTAATTGCCTCTTATGAGCTATTTTGGGTGGAAGCTGTTCTGAAGTCACATCTTCATTGTAAGCAGAATTCACAGATGATGGTTGTGCTTTGCCTTGAAAATGCAAGTTGCCTGCCTCAGTATCAGGTTCATTCCTAGGAGGGGAAGCCCCAGAGTTGGAGCCTGTCACATGTGAGTGTACAAAGGACTGAGCATCAGTTCACTTGGCTATAAAACAGAATGATCACGGAGCTGTGTGAGGACTAACTGGAATAATGAATCTAATGAACTTGACCTGGCTCATGGCAGGGCCTCAATACAAGTCTCCAGGGAAAGGATAGGAGGAAGAAACGGTAACCAAAAGCTCTCAGTGATCCCAAAGAAGTGGAGTTATTTGACTGGCCTTTAGTATTACACTGGTAGGGTTTCCATGTCTGGGTCTCATTCTTGGTGGTAAAATTTTGAACTGTCACATCTTGTTACTAGTGAGGAGGTACTTTTGGGGGGCCCTCCGGTCCTTGACAAATTGTTTATTCTAAGATGCTTTGACCAAGAAAGACCAAGAGCTGGAACTGCTCTAAAAGAATATAGTCTTTGGCAGAGAGGCACCTTAAGGAGGGAAATGCAAGCAGTGTAGATACGAATTTTATAAGTGGCTGTTTGCATTGCTTAACGAGTTTGTTTTCCTGTTTGGCTCCAGGTCTTTCTTGGTGTTGGAGGTTCCTGAGTATACCTTATGTTTAGAATACCCAGTACTTCCTAGGGTACTGTCCTCCTGGACTCTGGCCATTTTCTGAAGGGGAAGAAATGTTACAACCCAGAGGAAACAACAGCTGGACTGAGGGACCCCTCTGACCGACACAGCAGGTTGTGCAGGGCCCTGAAAGAGAGCTAAGGAAAGCAGACCGGGCTGTGGAGGCCACCTCCTTGGGCGCACAAGAGAACCTGCAGCCAATCAGCCCTATATCATCATGACATGGATGTCGTGCTTGTGCTTACTGCAGGGATATAGGAGACTTCACTGGGCCAGGTAGTGTTGGCTACAGTCCTCTGAAGGCATGAAACAGACTCTTGTCAGAAACTCTTTGAAAGGATATAAACAGTGATTGTCTGATGAGAGGCTAGGGGACTTGTGTAAGGTGCACTTAGGCACTTGCTGCTGACGCTGCGAGCTCCAAAACAAAGCTTGGCTTAGAGTTAATGAGTCTCACACCTGGAAATGATTGAGGCAACTGGTGTCAGAGAAAAGTCCAGACTCAGTAATATTTGGTTTGCTCTAAAATTACATATTTACTTGTATTTTCTAAGAATACATGGGTGTCTTGTTCCAAATGGTGGCAATTTCTTATTCATATTGGCCTTAGAAGAGGAAAGCAATTCTTAATTTCCTAAGAAAGGGAAACCTAAGTCATCCGGCCTTAGAGAGCAGTAGACAGGGGAGAGCTGAGAGGTAGTCTGCATTCTGGGTATTTAAGGACTGTTATAGGTGTGATGTATATTTGTGCATGTGGTATGCATGTAACATGTGTATGCTGAGTACTTACCRTGTGCCAAACAGTGTCTGCAGCCCTAGGAGGCAGATATACAGAAGACACAATCCTGCCTGCCAAGAGGTGGCCGTCCAGGAACGGAGCTGTGTGAGGGCATTTATCTTTCTGTGTGTGTATGTGTCCTCAGGACACACAGAAGGCCCAGAGTTTTCATTCTGTATTCCTTGCTCATATTTGTGTCTGGCCCTTTATGACTATCCAGATCCTGCAAGATAAATCAATGAATGTAGAAATTGATTGTCCTCAGCGCCCACAAGTGTTCCTGTCTCCTTTTAGCTTTGTCCCTTCTAGAGCCTTCCCTAGATGTCTATGGCTTGGCACTGGGCCTGTCCATTTTCCCCTTCCTGCTTCACCCCACTGGGCTGGGCCATCACATCTTCCATAAGACATTYCCTTTCCAAAGCCACCCAGCTGTGGCCCTTCCATGATGTTTGTGGTTCTGGTACATACTGTGATCAGGAAGAGGCAGACGTGGCTCTGGAGTTGTTGGGGAAGGTCTGGACCAACCACCTCACTGCCTGGGAACAGTTGGAGCTTCCTCTAGGCTACATCTCCAAAGGTCATGGGGGGTTGGGGTCAGCTCCATGCACCTGCACATATAGCTACTCCTCACTCCAGGATGCTGGTAGGGGTGGGTACCAACAGACTGCTTCTGAATCATCCCAGTGAATGAAGATTAAGCCCAAACTAGAAGGTAGACAGACAGACATGCAAGACATATGTTTCATTCATTTAAACAGGGCTTAAAATATAAAAGGGAACACCCATTATCATGAAGGCAGCACAACAGTAGGTAGTGAGATCATTCCAGTAACTTGGACATTGGGTCACTCAAGGATAGACGGTATCTCATTATCCTTGTCTTGTGGCACTTCATGGAACACATGGGGGATGCTACAGGACCTGGGGCCAGCTTTTGGCCACTCCTCCATGGACTCAGTCTGATCCTCTGGCTCAAAGTATCTCTGTCATTTCCAAGCTCCTATGACCATTCCATGGCCTGATCTGTCTGTCACACACACTCCAGCCCCAGGGAGGTGTCCGATGCCTGTAGGTACCCCAGATACATTTATCCTCACACAACCACCTGGCTCAGGTGTTCCTTGAGATGGGGCAGGAGCACCTTGAAGTCCCTTGGAACTAACACTACCATGTCAGTCCAGGGCCACAAGGCCACCTACTGACCAGCACCTCCAAAATAAGCATTCTTCCCTCCACTGTCATCATGAAGCCACAGGTAAGGCTAAGCCCTTATGTGCATCAGGTACCTGTCTCCCCTTCAYTTCTACATCTGTCCTGCCACCTCAAGTCCCTGACCAGCAGCCGCAAGGGAATGGGAACATTTTCTTCTGTCTTCAAGCCTTTTTGTTGTTTTAGATGAAATTTATACAAAAAAAAAAAAAAGAAGAAGAAAGAAAGAACAATTCACACCAAAAAAGCTATTGCTGCTGTTGTTCCTGCTGCACACTGAACCCTTTAGAACCAAAAGACTAGGGGCTCCCAGTCAGAGGGGTGGGCCCTGTCAGTCTGGGTCAGAGCAAAGTTCCTTCTACCACATTCCATGTTCCCAGGCTGCCCTGCTGTGCATGGACAGAGGCCATGCCCACATTTGGATCTGTACTAACGTATTAAAACAAGCCTCGCTGTGCATGGTACAGTAGGGAGCTACAGACCCTGCAGGGCTCAGGGCCACAATGGCTTGCAAGTTCCCAGTCCTGCTGTGCTCAGGAGCCCAAGGATACATAGACTGTGCACAGATGCACAATGAAACATCTCAAGTCAAGGATTCCAAACCACAACCCATTAAATGGTATGTCCCACAGTTTTAGAGGAGCACTGGGATTTGGCRGTGCCTGGGGGACTTTTGATGCCCTCTGATTCCCCATAAGTCCTTGAAAGTTTGGGGGAGCAACCTGGCACCCAAGAACTGGGCAAGAGCTTCCCTGGAGTCTTCAGAAGGATGAAGGCACACTCTCCTATAAGGGTGTACATGTATATTGACCCACATACACATAGAAACCTGAACACAGTCACCCATATGTGAAAACTCAGCCTCTCCACCATTTCATCTGTGTGCCTTCCCCTTGCTCTTGGGAGGGACTCTTCCTGTCCCAGAGTCAGAGCACTGAGTTTGGTGCCTAGGAATCTGCCCACTTCAGACCTGAATGTTCAACCCTCTTAACTACAGTTTTATTCTGGAGAGAGACATTGACCTTGACTGAACTCTGTTGTGGACAGGAAAGACTCAGGCATGTGAGTTTTGAAACCTTCCCAGTTAAGATAATGGGCTCTGTCTGGTGAAGGAAATGGAATCCCTGGTTAGTTGACAAAGGATTTTTTTTTTTTTTAACACATCAGCTGAAGGTACCAATTATTTGCCCAAAGGAGCAATGTTTCTCTGGTGGTTGAGGTCATGAGGAAAAAAGCCCTTAGTGTGAATCGGCCTGGCCAGGGTTCAGATCCTGGCTCCACTATCCCCAGTCCTGGGTGATTTTATGACTAAGCAAATTACGGGATCTTTCGGAGCCGCATTTACTCATCTGAAAAGTGGGGACCAGAAGGCAGCCTTATTAGTGAACAGAACTCCTGATCCATTCGTCCCCGAAGGGACGGTGATCGGCATTTTGGCCTCTACATCCTCTCCCTATGTCTGTGAGGTCTAGAGCATCCCTGAGCCATCCATGCCAGGACAGCTGTGCGGGGGCTGAGGGCTCCCCGCTACCACAAGGAGGCGCCAAGGGCAGAGCGCAGCGCACGCTGGAGCTCCGAGACCCCTCGCAGCTTCCTTAACCGGTCCCCCGTCCTTCGTCTCCCTCGGCTGTCCTCCCACCCAGCCATCCTCGCCAGCTCACTCGGTGCGGTTGCCCTGACTCCTGGACCTGGGAAGCGCCGCGCAAGGCGCCGGCGGCGCGGGAGGAGCCCCGGCCCTCTAGCGCCGGCAGCTCCGCCCCCTCCCCGGCTGCTGCGGGCCGCCTGCTCCGGCCCTGCGCGGTGGGATCTCCGGGCCGCACAGAGCGAGGAGGCCGGGCGCAATGGCCAGGGGCCCGCAGTCCCGGCGCAGCCCCGCGACGCCCGGGAGCGCCCTGCGCGCCCTGCTACGCTGCAACCTGCCCCCCGGCGCCCAGCGCGTGGTGGTTTCCGCTGTGCTGGTGTTCCTCGTCCTCATCAATGTTGTGCTGATATTCCTGCTGGCCTTCCGCTGAGCCAAGCAGCCCACCCGGTGCCGTGCCGTGCCGTGCCGTGGGGGACCGCGCTGTGGTGAGTGGCTCCTGGTTTGCATGCCAGCATTGTCACCCATAGCCTCCGCACCGAGATCTGGGGAGATAAGGCCTTAGGCCACCCATGTGCTAACTGACAAGGCCTGGTTTTGGGTGGTACCGGTAGTGCCACCATGTGGGTGACGGGCATGGTGGCACACGTGCATGGGGGGCGGGGGTCCAGTCTGTCCTCTGTGCTGTGATGCGGTGTCGGGGAGCTAAAATGGCGCATCTCTGTGAATAACTGGGGGTAGGTATGGACACAGCTGTAGCAGGGCTGGCTGTAGTTGTCAGGAAACGGTGTGCATGAGACCACTGGATGAGCAGAACTGGGCATGTACTTGTGTGTGTAAGTGTGTGTGTGTGTGTGTGTGTGTGTGTGTGTGTGTATGTGTGTGTGTTTTGAGAGTTTTCTGAAAGATACCTGGATACCTCAGGCAGGTCACCTGCAGTTGCTGTTCCCATTTTAGGCCTTAAAATAAGTAGTCCAGTCAATCTCCCTAGGGGCAAGGCCCCTGCTACTCTTCTTGAGATGTAGACATTCCTGTTCAGGTAGACATTGAACAGGAATACCAGTGCAGGGGAGTCCAGACTGCCACTCCCAGAATATACATTGTAAAACCACCACCACCTTGCAAGTAAGAGAAAGAGACAGGAGGCAGGATGGGAAGGGTGACAATGGTCATGGGGGGTGGGGTGGGGCAATATTAGGCAGAGCCTGGCAATATTGCTCATCCCAGGGCCAGTCAGAACCTCAAAATTACAGGAAGGGATCCTGCTTCTGCCCTGGCTTGCCTTGGTCTTGAACTTGCCCCTCCACATAAACATCCCTGTGCCTCAAAGTCTACCTCTGCATTCTCCTGCCAGGTGGGGGCCAGCCTGGAGTCCTATCCCCTGGGAACTGCCAGGCTGGAGTGTTAGCTTCAGGGACAACTGCACCTAGGATAGAGCACCAGAAAAGGTCTGTGCCCAGAAACCATCCTCTGCCTGCAGGTGAGGCACATCTGATGTCCTAGGAAACATGTCTCTGACCTCTTGGAATCACATTGTGTCTTGGTGACATTGCAGAAATTACTAATGTCAGTACTATAACTTGTTAGAGTACTTCTGGTTTTGGGCCACTGACAGGACGCGTGGGGAGGTTGGAGAACTTGTTCACAATCATGTGTCTTTCAGGTGCCCTGTGTACACAGTTCTAAGACAAGGAAGCAACAAAGGTGGCCAACACCTCACTACCCCCACTTCTGGGCAGGATAGGCATGGGGACATGCCTCTGTTGGTACCTGTCACCCGGTTCTCACTATGAAGCCTTGCCTCTTAAGAGTCCCAACTCCTTCCATAGCTTCCCCAGGAGTTATGAAGGAAACAGCCCATGTAATATCCACACTGGTCTGCATAGAGGAAAGGACCAGACTGGCTTTTGCTCAGGGCTCATTTTAAGGGATCTGGGGACAGAGGGAGACACCTCATCCAGTTAAGACAAAGCAGGAACCACCTAGTAGAGGAATCAGTGGGAATTGGGTTGCATTGAGTGTCTGGGTTACTCCCCCAGGTCAGGCCCATTCACCTGCATTCTCACAAGACTCACCTATATCACCAGGGGTGTCCACTTCCTCCTTTCTCTTGAGCCACATCCTTCTAGACCTTGCATAAAAGCCTGCTTGTCAAAGGTACACTGGCTCTACACATGCAGCCAGCTGGCTTTCATATGGTTGCGCCGAGTCCCTGTTTCATCCCATCTGTGTTGCAGCCAGGCCCACGTGCAGGTCATTATAGCTGGGCATGAGGGTAAAGGTCTAAAGACTGCTGCTCCCAGAATAACCCAGTGCTCTATGCCTGGGGTCCCCACATAGGCCTTGGGAACGRTCACTGCATTGTGAGGGTACATTTGCACATGGGCTTGCAGATTACTCTGAGGAGACGTGTCATCAAGTGTGCAGGTGTCACCTTCAAGAAAGAGTAAGAACCAGTGGTTGGGCCTTCCCTGAACTTGCCTGCTCAGGCCCTCCCCTGGAAGGCAGCTCCTAGCCTGAGTGGGCTTCTGTGCTGCAGTGGCAGCCTACCACTCACCCTACCCACATAGGCACAGATGCCTCTTGGACAGTGACTGGAACTGGGGTGGATGTACTGGCAGTCCAGCTGAAAGGTGTAACCCTGCTCTTGGTTCCCATGACCATGGAGGATTAGCATGCACACAGCCCTCGATGCACCTAGGGAAGCCAAGGGAGGGCTCACCGTGGGTGGAGAGCAGCTAAGCGGGAGTGCTTGGTGCAGAAGGCCAATCTGGGGATGCTCCAATTCTTCCTTGATTGTTTAGCTGTACAGTGGCAGTCCTCAGTTCTATGCAATTCCCAGCCCACCCCTCCTCTACTGCCCTAATACTACTGGAGCCATTCATCATTCGTGGAGTAGAAACAGGGTCCACATTACAGAAAAGCAGGTATCAGCCCAATGGGAAACAAATCCACAGGCAAGGGCTGCCTGGTTGTGATGTATCAGTCCACAACCACTTAGGAGAAAAATATCATAGGTTATTGAGCAGAGAATAACCAAAGCAGAGAATTGTCAACCRGGTAAAAGTGGTTGACTTGGTGACAAAGCACACAAGAACACCAGAGATATCTATGATAGCAGCTGCAACGCACACCTACTTTTTTTTTTAATTAGTTTTTAGTTGTCAGTACCTTTGTTTTATTTATTTATTTTTATGTGGTGCTGAGGATCAAACCCAGGGCTTGGCATGTGCTAGGCGAGCGCTCTACCACTGAGCCACAACCCCAGCCCCACATACCTACTTCTAAAGTTAGGAAATAAAGGAAAACGGTTGGAATGAGTAAAATGTAGATGCGTAGGACTCTGAGGAGGGGTGCTGCTCAGCTGATGTGGGTGTCTGAGCTGTGGTTGAAGGTGGGTTGGAAGCGGAGAGGCAACTGCTCCAGCACCTGCTCAGCAGGGGTGTGTTCAAGTTCACTTCTGGCTCTACTGTTGAGCCCTGACAGCCTCAATTTGCTCAGGGCACAACCCTGCTATCAAAGAGCTGTCGGCTGGGAGGTCAGGATCTCTTTTTCCCAGGGCAGTTGAGGGTGAGGATGGACAACAGGAGCGCCTCAGCCTGGCCCTAACCCCATAAGGTCCAGGGTAGCTTTGCCCCACTGACCTGCCTGCCATGGCTCTCTCCACAGCTCATCAGTGATGGCAGTGTGGTCTGTGCTGAAGCACTCTGGGACCATGTCACCATGGACGACCAGGAACTGGGCTTCAAAGCTGGGGACGTCATCGAAGTGATGGACGCCACCAACAGAGAGTGGTGGTGGGGCCGCGTTGCCGACGGCGAGGGGTGGTTTCCAGCCAGCTTTGTGCGGGTATGGTTCCAGCCTGTGCTTCTGCCTGACTCGTGAGGAACTACTTGGCTCTGCTCAGAAATCCAAGGCCAAGCTGGACATGGTAGCTCATGCTTATAATCTCAACCTACTCAGGAGGCTGAGGCAAGAGGATCACAAGTTTGAGATAAGCCTGGGAAACTTAGCAAGACTCAGTCTCAAAATAAAACATTTTTTAAAGGGCTGCGGATGTAGCTTAGTCGTAGAGTGCCCCTGGTTCAAGTCCCATTATCAAAATCATCATTATCATCCAAGCTCAAAATAGCTCTGGGGTCCCCCTCTCCAGTTTGTTGGTACCTGGTGCCTTGGGCTGGATGAGTGGGTGTCCAGAGAGCTGTGACACAGCCCTGCTCCTCCTACAGAACCACTACCTCCTCTGTCCCCTGCTGCTAATGCCTTCCTGCCCAGCCCTCAGGCCAGAGAGAATAGTGTGATGATAGTATATGACTCACAAGTGAATGTACATGGTAGAATCCCATTACCAGGAAGAACTTGATTTACCAGGCCTTTATGAAGCACTACAGAACATTTACATGGATTATCTCACTTAACACTCATCTAGCTCTGGGAGGTAGGGACCTGAGGAAACCAAGGCATGAAGTTGCTAAGAGGTCACAGGGAGGGGACACAGGTCCCACCTAAGGTGACCTCTGGTCTCCAAGGGAAAAATCCAGGTGCAATCTCCAAAGGGCCAGGCTGAGGGCAGCCAGAAGGGGAGACCTCATGCCCTGGTGTTCAGGTGCTCTTCCTGCCGAGGACTCTCAGGTAAACTGTCTACTCTGAGCCCCAAGTCTTTCCTTAAGTTACAGGTTTGAACGAGCAAGACCACACCACCTACCCAGAGTAGTCAGCCCCCACACGGCCTATTATGGCAAGTGCTGGTTCAGAAACCCCTGGCACATTTTCAAGCACTGTGCTAAGCACCAAGTTGGGGTGGGAGGCTTCCGGGGAAACATAGGGTCTGCCAAGGCTGCCCCAGTGGTCTTGGGATAATATCGGTGCCCCTTGGTGCAAAACAAAGCAAACAAAAACCCCAAACCCCAAACAGCTCTGGGGTCCCAGGTGGCCTCGCTTCCCATCTCCCATCTGCTGCAGTTAGACCTGCTGTCCCCATCCTGGCCTTGTACAGCAGTTATAGGAGTTTCCGAGCTAGCTCAGGACCACCGCAGGTCCTCTGAGTCTCAGTTCCCCATTGCCACTGTGCAGTGTACAGGGACTGACTCCTAGAGCCACCACAGGGCGCTGACTGACTTCGGGTTGCCTGCAGCTACGGGTGAACCAGGATGAGCCCACAGATGACGAGGCCCCACAGACTGGCGACGGCAAGGCTGAAGATGGTGGGACAGAGGCACAGAGCAGCAAAGACCAGATGCGGACAAACGTCATCAACGAGATTCTCAGCACCGAGCGGGACTACATCAAGCACTTGCGTGACATCTGTGAGGTGAGCAGGGATCCAGCTTGTGAGGCAGGGAGGGAAGAAGGACGGAGATAGAGCTCTGACCACCCCTGCCCCCACCCCCACAAGGGCTACATCAGGCAGTGCCGCAAGCGTGCAGACATGTTCAGCGAGGAACAGCTGCGCACCATCTTTGGGAACATCGAGGACATCTACCGCTGCCAGAAGGCATTTGTGAAGGCCCTGGAGCAGAAATTCAATAGGGAGCGCCCACACCTAAGCGAGCTGGGCGCCTGCTTCTTGGAGCACGTGAGCAAGCCCCGGCTTCTCCATCTGGATCCCTAAGCCCTGCCTGTCTAGCACCTATCTCTCTGCCAGGAACGCTTCCTCTCCCCACACACCCTGGCCTTTTATTTTCACCTCTTTGCACCTGGCTCCCTTCTCCAGCCCAGGCAACCTGCTATTGCTGTTCTCCCAGAAGCTTCCAAACATCTGTGCACCAGGCCCCAACCTGCTCCTCTTGCTCTACAACAGTCTTAGAAGGGTCTCTGCTTTTGGGTGGAGGGAAATCACTATCATCAAAGGGGAGTCTCAGGCATCAGTCAGGAAGGATTTGCTTGGGCCAGACAGGAAGGCAAAGATGTGTCCAGCCACCTATTTAGTGCCCCAGGGAAAGTTCTGGGGTTCCTCAGATAGTGGGTAATCTAGAATTTGTGTGGAATTTATAGCCCACATCCAATGTAGATGCCAGATGCCCAAAGGTTCATTGACTTGGTCTGGAAAGATTCCAGCCTCACCTGAAAGCACAGAAATTTGTTTTATCCCTGTCCTGGGCAAAAACACAGGGTTAAGCAAAGGATGTCTGTCTGTCTACCTTCCAGCCTCTGCCCCACTCATCTTTTGGCCTTAATAATAGCCCTTCCTTATTAGCACCTCTGATTTCATTAAAAAAAAAAAAAAGTTGAAGTTTCTACTGAGGGCTTTGCTGAGAAAGCTGGGTGGCAGCAGGCAGGAGCACGCAAGTCCTCTCGGGATCTTCCCATCCTTGGATGTGAATCCACATACCTTGTGCCCAGTTAAGTAAGTGGAGAGTGCCTGGTGTCCCCTGAGACCCGACTCCTAAAAGAAATCAGAGGCTCTTGACTCTCAGGGACCTGGGGCTTTGGCTGATTGCCTGGGGGAGCAGGAAGACAGCCATCCTAATCTCCAGCTGTGCCCTTACAGCAAGCAGACTTCCAGATCTACTCCGAGTACTGCAACAACCACCCCAACGCCTGCGTAGAGCTGTCCCGGCTCACCAAACTCAGCAAATATGTGTACTTCTTTGAGGCCTGCCGGCTGCTACAAAAGATGATCGACATCTCCCTGGATGGCTTCTTGCTGACTCCAGTGCAGAAGATCTGCAAGTATCCACTGCAGCTGGCTGAGCTGCTCAAGTACACCCACCCTCAGCACAGGTAGGAGGCATGAAGCAGGGAGGTAGCCTGAGGTTATGCACCAGTCAGTTTGTTAAGCATTTGGGGTGTGCTGGGTTCCGCTGTAGGTACTGGGACAACACACCAAATAAAACAAGCAATGTCCTCAAAGAGCTACCACCGCAGTAGGGGAGAGAGAATCATCAAGAGGATATTAAGGGGGCTGGGGATGTGGCTCAAGCGGTAGCGCGCTTGCCTGGCATGCGTGCGGCCCGGGTTCGATCCTCAGCACCACATACCAACAAAGATGTTGTGTCCGCCGAGAACTAAAAATAATAAATATTAAAAAAAATTCTCTCCCTCTCTCCTCTCTCACTCTATCTTTAAAAAAAAAAAAAGAGGATATTAAGGGGCTGAAGCTCAGTGGTAGAGCACTTGCCTCGCCTATGTGGGGCACTGGGTTCAATCCTCAGCACCACATATTGTGTCCATCTACAACTAAAAAAAAAAAAATTCTTTTTAAAAAGAGGATATTAAGCTTAATATTCAGGAGGAGAGAGATTGACATGACAAGAGGAACAGCCCCAGGAAGAGTCAGCTCCACCCAAGGGGCTGTAGGAGACTCCTACATCTCTCTGCTCTCCAGCCTGCAGTGCCCTTCCATCTCTGTTCTGCCACAGGGACTTCAAGGATGTCGAAGCTGCTCTGCATGCCATGAGGAACGTGGCCCAGCTCATCAACGAGCGGAAACGGAGACTTGAAAACATCGACAAGATTGCTCAGTGGCAGAGCTCCATAGAGGACTGGGAGGTGAGGGCCCCAGGGCCCAGAAAACACTGCTGGGTCTCTGCTTATCCCTGAAAAGTCTGGGAGGGAGCAGAATCAGAGAGCCAGGCTCTTGAAAGCAAGCACTCATGGCAGAAAAGCAGGTTCTCTTGTACAGACACAGGGTCCTTGGTGCTGCCCAGAGCCAAGCTTTAACACCTGGTGGCCCCCTTCCTGTGAGGTAACACAATCCTCCTAAGAGCCACCACTAGTCAGGAGAAGCCCTAACAGAGGAAGCATGTTTTTTCTAAACTATATCTATTCCTCAGGGGACAGATTACATCACTGAGTTTTATTGAACTTTTGGGGCTCCCAACAGTTGGATTTAGGCCCCAAAGTGTGACCAAAAATGGATCACTACCTATCAGGGCTCCCTAGTTCCATTTTTATGACTTGCATATTCCCCAGGTAACTGCCAGCCTTGCCTTCTAAGGGAACAGGAAGGCCTGAACTGATAACATTCCTGCTCCCCAGAGCCATAGAGGGTTTTGCCCTTCCACCWCCAGCCACTCTACCTCCTCCCGAGGCTCTGCTCCTGTCCACACAGTGGCACTGTGCCAGCTGTCAAAGGAATTATCTGAAAATCAATATAAATCAGCCACAGAACGTTATAAGATAGATTTCTGGGCCCCACCCTTGACCTACTGAATGCAAATCCCTAAGGAGCAGCTGGGCAATGTGGTCTAGTGGTTCAGAGGCCCAGCCTTGGCTAAGGACCCATACAAGTTCAGTCATCCCAAACTGAGTGGTTGCCAACAGCTGGCTGGGATTTGTACTCTCATAGAATTGGAAAGGGACAGGACGTAGAAAGTTGAAAGTTCCAGTGATGGAATTTCAGGTACTAAATACATATAGCTGAGAAAAGGACCTTCTTTAGACTCCTAAAGACTAGCTACAGAGGTGAATTTTCACTAGGGCAGAACCGTCTAATCAAAAGTGTGAACCACATGTGTAATTTTACACTTTCTAGTAGCCATCTTAAAAAAAGAAACAGAAGAAACTGATTTCAATGTTGTTTAACTCAGTATATCCAAAAGAGCATTTCCACTTGTAATCAACACAAAATACCATTGAGATATTGTACATAGTTTCATATTAAGTCTTTAAACTCAGTGTGTATTTATTTTATACTGACATCTCACTATGGATTAGCCACATTTTCAGTGCTGAAGAGCCACATGAAGCCACTATTTTGCAAGGATGGCCAGCTCAGGTCAGATCCTTCCACCTTTTTCCTTCCCCTTCAATAGTCCCCACCTTTGGGACCAGAATACTTCTTAGGCTTCAAGAGCACCCAGCCTCCCTTGACCTGGCCCAGTGGAAACTATAATGGGAATACACCCACCCACCCACTACAGAGGCAGGAAATAGAGCCCAAGGTTGAGTGTGCTCTTCTCATGCCTCTCCTTGGGGACCCCCAGGGGGAAGATCTTTTGGTCCGAAGCTCAGAACTCATCTACTCGGGGGAGCTGACTCGTGTTACGCAGCCCCAAGCCAAGAGCCAGCAGAGAATGTTTTTTCTCTTCGACCACCAGCTCATCTACTGTAAGAAGGTACCGGCATCACTCTGCCCTGCTGGATTGGCCCCACAGAGCAGGTGGAGAGACTAAAGCCAAGGGCTGGGAGCAACTACCCCGAGAAAGGGAGACTGGCAGATCCTACACTGGCCATTCTTCATTCCTGGGAGGAATGGTCAGGCCCGTAGGGCTGGGAGATGGTGAGACCACAGGATGGCTCTCAGTCCAGTCAGGGCCCAGTATTGTTAAGAATGCCCTCCTCCTGACCTGGCCCCTGCCTGATCCTCAAGTCACCTATTTATTCTCCTCCTATAAATCTCTGCTTCTCCTTGTGACCCCCGAGGTCCTTTGCGGTAGCCTCCTCCCGGCCTCCTCTTCACTGCTGGCCTAGAAGCCCCCATCCATGCAGTTCTCCTTGTCCACTGTACTCCTCTGTACTGTACCCTGTAGGCCACTGTCTTAGTTTCTATGTCTATCTATCTTCCCACCAGACTATACAGTTCAAAGACAGGGCTGCCCTCTGCCCAGTTAGTAGCTGGGCATTGAAAGGGCAGGCTCCTCCACTGGTGGTTCAGCCGTCATAGGTCACAAGAGGCCCCCTCTGCCTTTAGGTGCTCACCGTCTGCTGGGGAGGTGGCTGGGGGCAGACAAGGGACATGGGCAGGTGAGCAGTTGAACAGGTGGGCAGCCAAAGCTCAGGGCAGCATCTGGCAGGACCTGCTTCGCCGGGACGTGCTATACTACAAGGGCCGGCTGGACATGGATGGCCTGGAGGTGGTGGACCTGGAGGATGGGAAAGACAGAGACCTCCACGTGAGCATCAAGAACGCCTTCCGGCTGCACTGCAATGCCTCAGGGGTCAGCCACCTACTATGTGCCAGGAAGCCTGAGCAGAAGCAGCGCTGGCTCAAGGCCTTTGCCAGGGAGAGGGAGCAGGTGCGGCTGGACCAGGAGACAGGTGCGAGACCCTGCTGGGCCTTGCCCCACCTCTAGGGCCAACCTGGCCCTTTTGCCTGGCCTGGCTGCCTGGCAGTCAGAATCACCTTGATAAAGTGAGGCAGTGTATTTCATCCAGGAGTTTCAGGGCTCCAGCAATCTCTTGGTCCTAGCAGTAAGCAAGGCCACCCTCTCTCTACTGGCAGGAGTGGCCCTTTCTCAGTATACAGCCCCAGAACACGGGTCTGCTGGCCTGCATGGGGTAGGGTGGATGTTGCTTCACTGCACAGACTTGCACATGTACCCATGGACATGCTCTAAAGCCAGCTGGAACCCTGAGGAAACATGGAGGGGAAGGTGGGTAATAGCCTCCAGAATCCTCCCCTGCCCCATGAGAATAAGCTTCTCCCCCTCCTATTCACTCAGTGGCCAGGTTGCTCTTGGTAGAAGAAAGAGCATCCACCTAGGCACTGCACAAAGTGAGGGCCAGACATCAGATAAAGGCAAGAGATGTGGGCCACAGTGGGAGGACTTGGGGATCTTCATTCTCTGCCATAGTTGGCAGGGCCAGCTGACTGAGCAGGACAAGGAACAGCCCTTGCTATATTAAGGGCACAAACCCTGAGGCATATGGGAGTAGAACACTAGGAAGACTGCACCCAGGCAGGGGAGGAGGAGGATATGGGGCCTTATGTATACCTCCCCCCAGGCTTCTCCATCACTGAACTGCAGAGAAAGCAGGCCATGCTGAATGCCAGCAAGCAGCAAGCCACAGGGAAGCCCAAAGGTAAGTGGACAGTAGTCCCACCTATGGACAGCTCTGTCATTGATTACATCTTTGACCCCCCAAAGCAAAGCCACCTAAATACCAGGTTCCCGGAGGTGCCCACTGCCCTTTGTAGGTATTATGTTCCCAAAGGTTAGTGATAAGGGGAAGCTTGGGTCAGTACATTGTTCTTTATCTTGACCCCTCTGACCTCAGCATTGTGGCACAGTTAGTGTCAGTGCTTTTCTTCCCTAGGCTGCTGACAGGCACCCTCACAGCTACCTTCCCCCTTGCAATAAAAAGAGCCAACATCACATGCCTTAGAAGGGCCCCTGGTCATCTATCATCTCTGAAGGCTGCAGTAGGTCAGGGCCAGGCCAGAGGCTCCAGGCAGACTGGGCCCCAGGATGTGGTCAACCCCTCGGGAAACAAATCCTATGCGGCAGAACTGAGGGTTCTGGAACGGGCCCTCTGCCTTTCACCTGTGCCACCTGACGCTGGGGCACCCATGACCCTGCTGTTTCTCTTTGCCTAGCCGTAGGCCGGCCCTGTTACCTGACACGCCAGAAGCACCCATTACTGCCTGCCAGTCGGCCCCAACAGCAGGTCTTGGTGCTGGCAGAGCCCAGGCGGAAGCCATCCACCTTCTGGCACAGCATTAGCCGGCTGGCACCCTTCCGCAAGTGAGCCAGTACCCACCTGACAGCACTTTGTGGACTTGCCCATCCTCAGCCCCCAGCTTTTCCTCCTTGAGGACCACTCCATCTGGCCATCCTTCTCTGCCCGTCTTGCAAACTGGAAGTGTGCAGGTGTTGGTGCCCCCAGGGCACACCAGGTTTGTGCTCCCATGCTTGGTTTCTTCCCTGCTGCTGGTGAATGAAGTGACCAGCTGGGAGAGGCAGGGCCCTGGCACATACAAGCCCCTCCTGCAGCCTGATCTCTGACCCTCTCCCCTTCTGTCCACATTATGGACCTGTGTGAGGCCTTCACTAACCAGGAGCCGGGAAGCCACCGCTCAGAACCACTTACCAGGCCGGCGTGCAGAAGGCACTAGCTGCTTTGGACCAGCTTCTTTGGAAATCTAATCATCCCCATTCCTGTTTCCTCCAGGCAGGAGAGACCTACTCTATGGCCAGTGGCCACCTACAAAGCTGGGCTGTGTCCCTTCAGGCCACTTGCAACCTTGGAGTACAGGAACCAGAAATTCTCTACCCAAATATCTGGCCCAGACCTGCCCTTTTACCTCCCAGCCCCTCTAGACATTGCTGGTCACCCTCTTCACTCGTGATGTTGTGTAGTGGGAAGAACAAAACCATATAGTCAGCCACATACTTTGGTCGGAGTTTTGTGACCATTCCATCTGTAGCTGTGGGGTTGCTGCAGAACCACTTGGTTCCTGTTTTTGTTGGGGTTTTGTCCTCTTGTTTTTCTAACATGAAGAAAAACAGTTCATTGTTGTGACACAGAAAGATTGCCTTACCCTAGTGAGCGTGAGAAGCCATAAGGACTGAATTCTGGGGCCAACAGCATCCAGACTGACCCACTCCAGGCAACGGACATGTGGCGAGGGCACCCACATCCTGCCCAATGGCGCCAGGAGCACAGCCAGGCCTGGCATGTCAGTGTGGAACCCTACAGGATTCAGCAGCATGGACAGTCACTCTTGCACTATACCTTCTCCAAGCCAGAAGCCACATTTAATTTCATAAAGAAACTTGTGAAAAGTAATCTGGCTCCAGCCATTGCATTCTGTTGGTGTGTGTGTTTTCTCGTGTGTGTGTGCACCTGTTCTTTCTGTGCCTGGGCTTTCCCCAAAGACAAAGAATGAGCTGGGGGCATGGTGGCACATGCCTATAATAATCCAGCAGCTCAGGAGGCTGAGGTAGAAGGATTGCAAGTTCAAGACTAGCCTCAGCAACTTAGCAAGGCCTTAAGCAACTTAGACATTGTCTCAAAATAAAAGCATAAAAAGGGATGGGGATGTGACTCAGTGGTGAAACCCCAGAGTTCAATCCCTGATATTTAAAAAAAAAAAGGAATACCATGAGCCAAGAAATTCCAGAGGTATGGGGTAGGGGTGGGCTCTATTGAAGACTGGGGTCAATGCTGCAGAGACCAAGGATTGCTGGGGGGACCGTCTGCAAGACCTGGAGGTCCATTTCCTTCCCTGACTGCTCAGCTGGAGCTGGCATATATGACTTTGAGGGACTGGGGTCCACCATCTTTCTGGGCCTCAGCATTCTCCCTGCTGAAATGGGGAAGGATATGAATGACTTCCCAGGTGGACCCTGGCTACAGAAGCCAGAAGAGGAGCCCRAACTGCCTCCTTCCCAAACCACCTGGGAACAGTCCCTCAATCCACTGCCTCCAAGGGGTTGAAGACCACATGACCTTCCCAAAACCCCTAGCAGTCTCCTAACTTGTGGAAAGATACAGCACCTCTCTATTAGGCCAAGCTACTTCTAAACAAAACCTACAATGAAAAGAATCATGAAAACCAAAATATGCAACACAAGTCAATCTTTATTGAAAACTGCAGTATTAATACATAACAATTCTTGTTACAATAAACGTGCTTTAAGAATTTTAAATCTGAGCTCATCTACTCATCAGATTGCATAAAAAATTAAAATAGTATGAATTTACACCTAATTGAACTGGCTCAGAATGGATGGTCCATTCCTTTTTATTGACACGTAAGTTCAATGCAGAGGCGAGGGATGCCTTAACACTGGAAGACAATGCTGACTTAAGCTTAAAAAAAGTACCAAGAGAACAGTGTAAAAAACAGTATTTAAAAATCATTTAAAAAAAAGGGGGTGCGGGACAGTTTCCTATTCAGTTACAGCCCATGAGCCTCCTTGGGGCCTTTCCTTCAAGTGGTCATCACAGCAACCCTGTTAGGAGCAGTCTCAGATCTGGCCCAACTAGTTTATTCTACGGCCCACCACTCTGCACCAGAACCCATAGTGCCACCCTAGCCAAGGAGCTGCCTGCTGCACCACTCTGGGACATCTCACCCTGCCTGAAGTATATCAGGACTCCCTGACAAAGATGTTACTCCTCTCCTGGTCCCAACTGACTACACTTTATTTAATCCTGCTTATCCTATATGTTTTTCATTTTTCAAATGATTGGGGAGCGGGAAAAAGAGACAAACCCTCTAAAACATGCAAGACCAACTTTGCAGTTTCCACCAAAGCCACATCCACCTCAGAGTGTCATTTGCAGTGTATTTGAAGGTCAGCCACCCTTCAGTAAGCTCAGGTGGAGTAAGCAGCTCAGAGAAAACAGACATAAACCTGGGAGATGTGCTAGGCAGAAGAGCTGTACTGCTCTCCCTGAAGCCAACCTCACTCCTAAACTTTAGAGATCCTTTAAGAAAGCACCGGAGAGAAGGACCAGCTGCTGTCCCTCCTGCCACTGCACCCATGAGAGACCCTACGCTGTGTGGGCAGTGCTAGGCCAACAACAGCTGGAGCAGCGAATGCTGCCAGATAAAAAGGTGGCCCAACTAATCAGAGTAATACTGTTTTCAAATGTTCGTAAAGGAGAGGTGACATTTGAGCTCCCTCTGTAAAGGAGTTCCAATATTTACACAGCTGGTACATGGCAGCTTTTTACCACTCCCCAATGGCACACGAAGCCCATGGGCACACGAAGCCCACGTGGGGACAACACTGCCAGATGCCAGGGCATTCCAATGTATTTCCTATCACTGACATGTCCCCCAATAAACATGCAAATTACTTCCTAGACCTCCTCTGTCACAGAAGGATAAAGCTACCAGATGAAGCAAAGCATAGATGCCTTGCTGGGGAAGGGCAGGACACTCTAGAGGCCAGGGACCCAGGTCAGGGCTGGGGACCTCTCTACCTCCTATGAATACTACATTTGCATAGCACACAAGAAATGTCACCCAATAGCAATTCATAGGCCTAATAACCACATCATCAAGAATGTTCTTGAAAGATGGACCACAAGAGACATAAAAGGTTCTGGAAGAGCTTATGTGCCTGTTACCATGATTGGCCCTGGCCCCAAAGGTGTCCTCACCTCACAGAATCAAGAAGCTCATAGATAACTCAATTCTAAACACTCAGCTTCCAGACCACATCCAAACTAGATTTCTATGAGCAGAGAGGAACAGCAGCTACAAAGCTGATGAACACATCTTCCACGCCTCAGGGGAGAAGAGAATAAACATTTTTTTATATTCATAATGACATCCATGTTTACAGGAATTAAGTCCTTTGTTTGCCTATATCAGTTACTAAAAAAGAACAATAATTCAGCTGAAGAACACTCAAATAAGGAATGTCACACACACAAAAAGCAAAATTTCAGGGAATGTTCCACAATATGCTTGCGATAACAAATTATACAGCTCTGTAACAGAATACTGACCCAGGTTCTAGCCCTTAATTAATTTTACTAGAACTGAATGTTTTAAAAATTACAACCTATGACAGTTTTGGTACTACTCAAATTCAGATTCTTATCTGACAGATAAACTCTCTTTAACAACACATTTCATAAACTGATGAAATGATAGTGTCAAAATGGGAAAGATTTCTACTAGATATATAATGCCAAAGTATCTGATAGTCTCTTAGTTCAACTTCACAAAAGGGAAAAAAAGATTTTAAAATAATTTTAGAGAAGCAAAATGTTTATCAAGCTGATGTACACAGGGGAAGGGATGCAACCCACTCTTTACCCTTCACCTTAGTGCTTATGGAAACACCCTGTGTTTGCCAGCCTCACACAGGTCTGGAGACAGTTCATGTAACTTCTTAGGACTTCCTCCAGAATGCATATGACTCTGCCCCTTATAGGCACAGGGAATGTACATGTTTCCATTTTTGTGTGGGGCTTTGTTAAAGCATACACTAAAGTTATGAATATTGATCTACTCATATATTACCACTCAATTTGGGAAAACTGCCTTCTCTGTCAGTTAAGTCCCTGAAACCCTACTGATATTGCAAACCAATACAATTACCAACACATATTTGTGGAAATGGACACAAATTATGTGCCTGGGGTACATGTATGTCTGTCTCTCTCTCTCTCTCTCTCTCTCTCTCTCTCTCTCTCTCTCTCTCTCACACACACACACACACACACACACACACACAAGTTAAGTGCTCACAAAGCGATTTAAAGTACTTATCAGTAAACATTCTATGTTAATAGACATTAGGAATAAGGAATCTTCTGTTTACAATGATCCATGCAAAAATATTCCTAAACTTCTTACAAAATAAATGTGGAAAAAGAAAATGAAGAGTACTCACTATAAAAAATAAGATTACCAAAGGCTCAGTGGTCAGGTATTTCACCTACCAGCCAGGCTGACCGCTAACAGTGACCTCCACCCGAGTGCCAGAGCCCTGACCTAGCTGCCTCAGAAGCAGCACAGAATCCTCTCTCAAAGTCCACAGCATTCCAAACAAGGATGGGGTGGGAAAAGGATGAACTTCCATCTCTGCCTGACAGACCCCTGAAAAAGAGCAAGTCTTCATACCTCCACCCTTCTGACCCTCACTGAAAACAGACATGCACTCCTACTGATGGAAGTTGGGCATTGGGCGGGGYGGGGAGAGGAGTCCTCATGATTTCTTATGTACAATATTCAGATTTTAAACTAAAAATCTTCCCATAATAGATCCTGGCAGGCAAATCATTCCACTGCTACCGGGCCCTTTCTGCCATCCACACTCACTTGGTGCTGAGTGCCTTTAGCTCCAAGAAGAGATGAGATGGCAGAAGAGGCTCAAAGACCACGGACACCAACCCTATAAATCTCCTCCAGCTGGTCACAATCAGGTGGACTACTCCAAGACAAGCTACATGATTCTACATTATCAGACATACCCACAGCCTTGCCTCTCTACAAGAAACATGAGGAATTTTAAATAAAGTTTTGTTCCCTTTAAATCATTCTTAAATATACAACTTGCTCTATAACATACAGCTGAAGTCTTTGCCATTCCTTGGGAGCAGGGTGTGGGGACCAATGCCTGTAAGTTTTCAACTGACTTCAAACATTTCTGGGGAAGGGGGCGACTGGAATGATTTTCTAAGCTAAATAAACCAGAAGGCAATACCTCATCCAAGTGTTTCACATATCTTCCATCCTAGGAAGACAATTTAGTTCTACTCAGGACTTTTTCAATAAAGATATACAAAAAATCTTCCTTCTCTGTAAGAGAACAGACAGTGTATTGGAAATTTAGATGGCAAGGAAAATTGTTTTGCTGATATGTAGAAAACCCCTTTGCCCCTAACTATACTGACCACACAACTCTAATCTTCCATGATGGTCTTTAAGCATGTCCCCTTTCCCTGGACCCTGCCAAGCCTACACAGAAAGAAAGGGATGCCCACTAATTGGCTGATCCCAAACCACAGTGGCCCGCCCACTCTCTTCCCATCCCTGCAGCTCCCTCCCATGCAGTCAGTGCCAAAGAAACAGATCGCTGAAAACTAAAGTCCACATCCAGAAGCGGCAACCTACATCAACCCCAAAAGGTTGAAGAATCATCTAAGGTATTTCAGGTATGCTCTATGAACATATTCACTTTAACACTTATAACTTTAAGACTTTGCATACAACAGTGCATTAGTGAAACAGTTGTAAAATATGTTTCCATTCCTTTGGGTTTTGCATAAGATGGTTTTGCATCAGTCACTGCAGGTAGATTGAGCAAGCTTTGTTTTTGTGTTTGTTTTTTTTTTAAACATGCATTCAACTAGATATGATTCAGAATAGATTAATACTCCCTTTTTATCATTACAGTTAGCTAAAAAATTGCCAGGCAAGTCCACAAAACAGGATTTGCTTTAAGACCAACCCACGGAGTTAGCTGGAGACTAACGGCACTGGGACCTGCTGGGCCGGGACAGTCGTATTTAGCTAAGTGTGAGAGCATTAAGAAGAAAGTCCTGGTTGGAGGCACAAGGCCTGCAGCACCAGCTGTGGAACCTCAATGATGTGACTGCACAGCTCCATCCGCAAACCTAGAAAGAATGAAAGGTACACAGTCATACAGAGCTCTTCTGCCATCACTGTTCCAAAAACTCCAAAAGGACAAGATCCAATAGGGTCAAAAAGGGCAGCAGGGCACAAAGGTGCTGGACCTGATTCCCACCCACCTCACAGAGACCCCCCTAGTTACAACCAGAACTCTATCTCCTGCAACAGGCAGGAGGGGGATGCAAGCATATTCCAGGTAAGAATAGAGATGCCGTGTAAATAGTAACCACCAAATGGTTTCCTTCTCTTTATGGAGTTCCAGGAAGATCAAAAACATAATGGGGTTGTGGCTCAGTGTAGAGCGCTTGCCTAGCATGTAAGAAGCACTGGGTTTGATCTTCAGCACCAGATAAAACATGATATAAAGGTATTGTGTCCATCTGCAACTTAAAAAAAAAAAAAAAAAAAAAACACTACAATTGCTCTTAGATCAAAGGTCAGGTGCATTTTTTTCCTTAGTGCTTAAAACATGAGGTAGGTTTGTCATCCTCCACAGAGAAATGCACTATTGCCAGGGCCCAGTGAGCCTTCACTGATCACTTACATTTATTTGCAGGGTGATCACCACTGAGGGGGCACATAGCTGTAGGTGGGTGTTCCTGGAGCCCGATACGTGGGCACAGTGACTGGGTGAGGGGCAACAGGAGTTGGGGAATGGGCAGTCAGAAGGGTACCTGGAAGAAAGATCAGCACATCACACAAAAAGCAGGTCTACATGCTATACACCAACTCCAGTGTGACTCCACACTGTCACTGACATGTAGGCCTTTGTGAAGAGAYAGGCACCTTGGAAGAGGGCACAGAACTGAGACTCAGAATAAGGTCAGAACGCTAATTAGATCACCCCCAAAAGAGCTGAAAGATATTTGATAATATGTCTGTAAAAGGGCTTGTGCCACCAACTGTGGTGGTGCATACTTGTAATCCCTGCTACTTAGGAGGCTAATGCAAGGAGGATCACAAGTTCAAGACCAGAATGGGCAACTTGGTGAGACCCTGTCTCAAAATTAAATTAAAAGGGCTGGAGATATAGCTCTGTGTTAAGAGTGCTTCAGTACTGCCAAAAAAAAAAAATGTAAAAGAATATATAAAAAGGCTTTGGGTCTATCTTTACAGAACATTCAGAAAACTTTTCGTGGGTCAGAAGAACCCCCACCCATTTTTTCGGTTCTGCAGATTGAACCCAGGAGTGCTTTACCACAAAGATACATCCAGTTTTGTTTTTGTGGCGCTGGGGATTGAACCCAGGGCCATGTGCATGAAAGGCAAGCACTCTACTAACTGAGCTATATCTACAACCCACATCCAGTTCTTTTTATATTTTGAGACAGGGCCTCGAAAAGTTGTGATCCTCCTGTTTCAGCCTCCCAAGTCACTGAGAACAGGTGTGCACACTGCCCCAGGCTTTTACAAACATTTTAAATAGTATTATCAGACTTAAACAGAAAATTCTCATATATACAACACAGGTGAACCTTAATGAAGRACATTATGCTACGTGACAAAAGGACAAATATTGTAGATGGTCCCACTTCGATGAGAGTATTTAAGAGTTATCAAACTCAGAGACAAAACAAAATGGTAACTAACAGAGCTAGAGAGCAGGTGTATAGCAGTTTAATGGAGTATAGGTATTTAACACATACAGGATATTCAGATTTGCAAGACGAATACCAATGTGAATAGACTTAACAATATATAAAATTATGGAAAAATTATTAAAAGGGTGAAAAAAAAGAGAAATGTGAAGTGGGATTTCCAAACTACATGAGCTTCTGAGTACATTACAAAAATGTATTTTTCCTATAACTACAAAAAAATTCAGGGACTACCTGAATTCTTTTGAGGTCAACACTCCTCAAACCTAATGCAATTATTCCCTGTTGCCTGTGCTCACCCTGCCCACCATGGCCTCCAGGACACAGCTTCTGTCTGTCATAGTCGTCTCTGCTTTGACAGAAAAGTACAGGAAAGCCAAATAAAATAGACATTAAGGTCAGAAATACACAGTATCCCAAAGAGCCTTCTCTTTGGTAGAATTTCCTTAAACTGAAGTTGGAAGGTAAGGAAGTGACATTCCAATCATGGGCCATCAACCCTTAAAGACCAGCAGGTAACTTAATCCCTAAATAGCAAATCAAGCCCCAGGGCTTCCATGGGTCCACAGAGACATGCCTACTCTAGCCTAGTGGTCTCTTCTGCCCTTGGTTTGTTCTCCTGACTTAGAAGAGGACTGGGGAAGTAAAGCAGATAAGCCGAAAGATCTGTGCAAGTAGCTGTTACTTCTATTAACACCAGACCAGCATTCCTAGATACACTGAAATCTTGCCCATTAACTTAACCTATGAAGCCAGATCACACTAAAGGAAAATATGAAGAGGGCCAGCCCACAAAGTGTTCCTCCTCAAGTTTTATATGCTCACAGTGGTGGAGGGAGTAGTGTCTGGTCACTCACTCCTCATCCCTACTGCCAAATGGACTATCCAGCTCACCAATAAAATGACTTAGTCAAATTCAGAAAGTGCTGTTCAGTTATGCTCCACAAGGGAAGCCAGTTGGTTCATCAACTCTTACACCCCACACTCCAGTATCCTCTCAACTGAAAGAAGGGGAAGGAAAGGAAWGGAGTTAAAGTCAAAGGTAACTGTCACTTCTTCAAAGAATCACATGTACTTCACACAACTGCAGCCATGAAAAACTAGAACCAAGAGTCRGAGTATTCATAAGCTTTCCCACACCTTACCCCAGCCTTATGGCACCATAGCACACACACTAGGAATAAGGACTCACCTGCTGACATGGCCATCGTGGTCCCAGCAACCATGCCCATGGTGACCCCATTGCCTCTAGGAGGAGGGATGGGAGCAGGGTACACTGTTGCCGGCATGCCATTGGGCTGCACCACCGTGGTGTGATGGATGACGTGAGGAGGTGCTGCATACAGTGGCTGTGTATAGTACGTGCCTTGCTGTGGGGATAAGGAAGACAACTGCCACAAGGTCCCATAATTTGGGGACCTAATGGAACCAATCCTTCCCACCATGCAGGGCATGTCCAAGCATACCTGTGCGTAAGGGCTCTGCTGGGGATAGGCACTTCGCACGGGGTACACAGCAGTCTGGTAGGGGTTGGGGGAAGAAGAGTATGGCGGCACGGCCCCGCTGGTGGGGGAACAGGACACTTTGTAAGGTGTGCCAGGAGTGTAACCTGTAACAAAAAAGCCCATGCCTGAGTTCATGTGGGACCATGCCAGGCATGGGGGAAGGACATGTGTAGGGTAGAGGCAGGTGTCATCTCAACCACGAACAGTGTAACACAGTCAAGATTCAACACCACTACAGTCCCCTCTCCTCCACTGACACCAAGCTCCATTTTTTGGCTTTGTGTGCAACTGAAGTGGGGGGGGGGGGTGCTGAAGAGGAGAAAGTTCTATGGAGCATATGCTCACACAAGAACAGGAAATTAAATACTGTCCTGGCCCACCAGAATATAAATTGGTACAGCCTTCCTGGCCACTCAATTTGGCATTTAAAGTACATATGTATTTTAATCCCACAATTAGCTGTATAAATCTACCATAAAGAAATACGCACATATACACAARGACATAACTTAGAAAGCACACTAATCTCTGGTATTACAGCAAAAACAAAAGGAGAAACTTATCAAACATCAGGGATTGGCTTAGCACCCTACAGTAGAAAAACTTTTGGATCAAATGAACAGATTGAACACACACAGTTACTTGTTCCCACCCAAAATGACACGAAAATGATTATAAAACAGATTAAGGAATAAAAAGACAGACCAAAAATGAAAGTAAAGGCTGGGCGTGGTGGCATACACCTGTAATCCCAGCAGCTTGGGAGGCTGAGGCAGGAGGATCACGAGTTCAAAGCCTGCCTCAGCAAAAGCAAGGCAATAAGCAACTCAGTGAGACCCTGTCTATAAATAAAATACGAAAAAGGGTTGGGGACATGGCTCACTGATCTGCCTGAGTTCAATCCCAGGTACCACCACCACCCCCGCCCATTAAAAAAAAAGAATGGAAGTGAAGAAAGCTTTTAAATCTAAAAAGCTACACTCCATCAGTATTGAGAATAGTCTGATCATAGGACACCACCTGTCCTGGGAACTGCAGGACACCAACTTGTTTCCAGAAGCTGGTGAAGGCCTCTAATAGGGAAGAAGGGCTGTGAATCTACTGAGTGACCATTAGGTGTCTGGCTCCCCTCCTGATCCTCTACCCCAACAGATTTGCTCTCAGGTCTGGCGGAGAGGGCCTCTGGCTTACTATGCTCAAGGCAGCTTTATTCAACTGCCAGGAAGCTATAAATAGCCCACATGTCCACCAGCATACAGACAAACTGGTACATCCACACATCAAGACACTGCTCAGCAACCAAAAGGAACAAACTACTGATAACAGACAACATAGATGAGTCTTAATATCACTATATTATTGCAAAAGAAGCCAAAATAAGAATACATGTTATATGCATCTGATAGTAAGCACCAAGAAAGATAAATCAAAATCCACAATGATAGAAAATCCACCAGTTGTGGCCAGGGGCAGAGGGGCACATGTACCTTTCAGAACCATGTAGTCACCCAACTATAGTGGTGATGTAAAACCCTATACAACTATCCAAACACACCAAGGTACACAGTAGAAAGGACAACTTCCAGTACAGGTAAACACTACCTCTGCAGAAGCTATTTCTAACATGTCCCTAATGACATTCACATTCCCATCAGTGTAATGTGAGGCAGGGAGCAATCACACTGTCACAAAGTATAAAATCTCAAACCACAAACACACTTACCACAGCACCCAGCAACTCCACCTCCAGATATTTCCCCTAGAAAATGAAAACACAGGTCCACAATGGGACTTGTAAAACACATTCACCAATCTAATTCCTAAAATGGAAAATAATCCAAATGCTGATTCATCAATAGGGAAAAAATATACACTGTGATACATCCATGTAAACACTACTTAGCAATCAAAGATGAATTTCAAGCCATGTCAAGCTTTCCAAAAAAGCCAGACCTCAAAAAGAACACCAGAAATTATTCCATTTATATATCAAACACTAAGTAAATCCAACTATTTGACAAATCAGAAAAGAGGAAAGGGTAAAGAAAACCTGGGATGATAAAAGGATTGCTTATATTGTTTGGGCAGTGGTTCCACAAGAATGTGGCAACTCAAAATTCACCCACTGCACACTTAGTATGTAGGTTTTTTTGTGCATAATCTAGTTAAATTTTTTTCATTTTAATTATACTACTGGATTGTATTTAGTAATGTAACACATTTTGTTTTTAATTTTAAAGAGAGATAATGAAAGACTCCCAGGAAATTCAGTTTTAAATGGCCTTTTTAACCACAAGAAATTCTGCTTCCCTCCATGGGGCCAGGTAAGTCCTAGTCAACTGTGGCTGTAGCCACATGACAATAGTATCCTCATCAGAATCTCCATGTATGTGCCCAGGCTCATCATGACTGTAATGTCAGGTTTTCTCATGCACTCCCCAGGGCGTGTTCACACTGTTATCCCTTCAGTGCACCCAATAGCTGGCCCAGAGATGAGTTGTACTCCAACAAGATCCATCTGCATCCAGATTCTTAATCTCTTCATCCAAACCAGGTGATTCCCAACCTCAGCTAGTCTATCTGGAGAGAAAAGATCCTCCCAGATCTCCCTAATTATTTTTGAAGTTCATTAATTGCTATGTTAACTAAGTATAAACAGTACCAAAATTTGAATATATTAAATTTTAAACTTGGTTAAAAACCAAATACACAAATTTTCCTCCAGAATTTAGAAAAGCAAGTCCAACTATAAGAGCACTTAAAGAGTTTCTGCTATAATTTAGAATTTCAATATCCCCAAAAGGCTTKGTCCCCAGTTTGGTGCTACTGGAAGATACTGGAAAAATTGGGCCTTTGGCCAGAAGTGTCCAGGTCACTGGGGACAAGCCCTCCTTCCCCACGGAGATTTTAGAATCCTGTCCTTCTCCCCCTCCTCCATCTCTTTTGCTTCCCAACTGGGAGAATTCTGCCCATCTGGTTCTGCAATAACGTGCTGTTTCACCTCAAAACCCGAGTAATGGAGCTAATCCTTCACAGACTAACATCTTTAAAATTGTAAACAAGTGGGGTGCAGTGGTGCACATTTGCAATCCCAAAGACTGAGGAGGCTGTGGCAGGAGGATCACAAGTTCGAGGCTGGCCTCAGCAACTTAGAAAGGGCCTAAGCAACATAAAAAGACCTTGTCTCAAAATAAAAAATAAAAAGAATTGGGGATGTACCTTAGTGGTTAACCTCAGTGGTTACCATCCCTGGGTTCAATTCCTGGCACACACACAAAAACAAAAAAAAAAAAACACAAACAAACAAACACACACACACACACACACAAAAAAAAAACACCACACAACTACCACCAAAACCAAAAACGAAACCCCTATAAACCAAGCTAAGCCAGGTGTGGTGTCAAACACCTGTAATCCCAGCAACCTGGGAGGCACAGCAGGAGGATTTCAAGTTCAAAGCCAGCCTTGGCAACTTAGAAGAACCTGTCTAAATAAATAAGGATCAGAGATGTAATTCAGTGATAGAACACCGTTGGGTTCAAAAAACATGAGTCTTTTCTCTTAGAAAGCTAACTATCAGGCATTTACAGTTACTGAAAACTGACAAAAACAGTCCTTTCTCTAACTGCTCATCCTAAGTAGAAAAAAAAGTGATAGCATCACAGGTCTATGCATGTTAAAACTCATCAAAACTTTAAATATGTGCACTTTATTGAATGCCAAATATATCGCCACACAACATTTTGATTATAAAGAAAAAAGCAGTATGGAAGCAATCAAGTCCCAGCTACTCAAAGACACTCCCAGGAGGTGGCCCAGGACAGCTTTATGAAATTCCTCACAAGAGACTGGCTTGATGGGCTGGGGTTGAGCTCAGTGGTAGAACGCTCATCTAGCACGTGCAAGGCCCTGGATTCGATCCTCAGCACCACATAAAAATAAGTAAATAAAATAAAGGCATTGTGTCCAACTACACCTAAAAAATAAATATAAAAAAAAGAGAAAGAGACTGGTTTGCTCAGAGGAGGAAACAAGGAACAGCACAATGTGGGAACACCTGTGACTAGACATGACCATGGGAGCATTACACAAGCTATATGTCAACACAGAGCCAGAACCTGTCACCAGAAAAGATCCAGCCCTCTCCACAAGGAGGAAAGCAATTAAAAAACAAAAAGACCACCAACACAGATTTATGCAGTCTTGGCAGGCAAGAAGAAGGCAGCTCAGGGTGGAGGGCAGGGCTGTCTCCAAAGAAAGGAATAATAGGGCTGGGCAAGATGGCATATACCTATAATCCCAGCTGTTCAGAAGGCTAAGGCAGTAGGAGCACAAGTTTGAGGCCAGCCTCAGCAGCGTAGGAAGGCCCTAAGCAACTTAGGAAGATCCTGTCTCAAAATAAAAAATAAAAAGGGCTGGGGACAAAGCTCAGTCGTAGAGTACTTGCCTAGCATGTGTGAGGCTCTGAGTTGAATCCTAAGTATCACAAGAGAGAGAGAAAGAGAGGGGTGGGGAGAAAGAAAAGGGGAAAACCAGATCTGGGATAGGGAGGCAGGGAAAGAGAGTCTCATCCTATATATCCTCCTCTTCCCCAAATCACTCCTCCTTACTTATTTCTCAGGACCACAATCACACTACAGCAGGAAAAACTCAATGCTGGTTAACTCATAGGTGAACAACACTAATATGACTCCTACATAGCTTAAATCCAGTTTCTCCCCTATTGTTTCCATGGCCTCCATCAATAGTCCTCCTAGGAATCACCAAACTCATAGCTGACCAAAATGTTAACCATTTCTTTAAAAAGTATCACAATCAAAATATTCATAGAATTATACTTTCTGTGTCACAATTTCATATCAAATGCTAGACTTTTAAGTCTGGGAATCCACATTCATAATTTCTAGCACTACCTGATTTTCAAACGAATATGGTCCCCTTTCATCTTGGTGCAATTTTTTAAAATTCATGACATAGATGGGGCAACTGGAAATATGAACACTGATTGTGATTTTGAGTATTAAAGAATTATTTTTTGGATGTAAAAATGATATATATTATAGTTATACATTTTGTCTTTTAAAGATAATATTAAAAAACATGAGTAGAAGGGGAAAAAAAACATGAACAGGATGTCTGAAAATTACTTCAAAATAATAAAAGGGAGAGCCTGGTGCAGTGGTGCATGCCTGTAATCCCAGAGACTCAGGAGGCTAAGGCAGAAGGATCTCAAGTTCAAAGCCACCCTCAGCAACTTAGCAATATCCTAATCAACCTATCAAGACCATTTCTCAAAATTAAAAATAAAAAGGGCCAGGAATGTGGCTCAGTGGATTCAACCCCTAGTACCAAAATAAAATAATAATAATAATAATAAATGGGAATGTGGTTAGCATATAGATGAAAAACATGAGCTCTGAGCTGGTAACTGCTAAAAAGTCAAGTGACAGGTAAGTAGAGATTATACTCTTAAAACTTGTGTATATATTTAAAATTGTTCCTAATAAAGCCTCTTTATTATAAAGTGTATTTGTTTTAGAGTTTAGGCATACTGTTATGAATTAAGAGACAAAAGACATACATTCAACCTTAAATTCAACTTGTGTTAAGTAGATCTTATTTCCAATTATTTTTTAAAATCTGACATAAGTGGACAAATGTGAATGTGAGCAATTAAATCACATTAGAAAACTACCATTTCTAAATGTAATAATATTAAAGAATGAATGCTTATTGTTTTGTTAGAAAGGAGCATTCTGGTTTTGGTTTTTGTTGTTGGGGATTGAACAGAGGGGCACCTTACCACTGAGTTTTCTAACCCGGGCTCTTTTTTTTTTTTTTTTTAATTTGAGTCAGGTTCTCACTAAGTTGCTGAGCTGGCCTTGAACTTGCAATCCTCCTGTCTCAGTCACCAAGCCAGGAAGGAAGGGGAATTTCTGAAGTCCACAAAACAAGAGCCACAAAGGCTAAATACAATTCTAAATTAGTTCAGCAGAAAAAGAAAAAAGACATGTTCATTCTTTTATAGATAAAAGAAATAGGGCAAAGTCCAAACTGGCAGACCTAGGCAAAAGGTATAATGGGCATTCACTGTACTGTTTTCTCAACTGTTCTGTACATTTAGAAATGTTTAATAATAAATAAGGTTAAAAAAAAAAAAAAGTGCTTTCAAGTTGGGTATAGTAGTGTGTACCCACGGTCCTGGCTACCTGGAAGCTGAGGCAGGAGGATTCCTTGAGACTAGGAGTTCAAGGCACTGGCAACATAGCAAGACCCCATCTCTTTAAAATACGTAAAGAATTGGGCAGGAGATGTGGCTCAAGCGGTAGCGCACTCGCCTGGCATGCGTGCGGCCCGGGTTCCATCCCCAGCACCACATACAAACAAAGATGTTGTGTCCGCCGAGAACTAAAAAATAAATATTAAAAAATTCTCTCTCTCAAAAAAAAAAAAAAGAGTAAAGAATTAAAATGATAAAAATAAGTAGGTACAGTGGTGCACTTATATAATCCCAAAGAATCCATAAGCAATTTAGTATGACCCTGTCTCAAAATAAAAAATAAAAAGAGCTACGGATGTAACTCAGTGTTAAAGGGCCCTTGGGTTCAATACCCAGTACTAAAAAATAAAAATAATTTACCAACTGCCTTAAAAACAGAAAGAAAACAAACAGTCACACACAGTAAAAGACACATGCACAAACTTTTTATCTAAGACATGTGGATGGCAAATAAGCACACAAAAAGATTACTGATATTATTTTTGTCTCGAGAGTTAAAAATACAATGAGATCTATCCACTAGATTAGCTAAAATTAAAAAGATTGGTCATACCAGTGTTGCTGAGGATGGAGAGGAACTGGAACTCTCATACACTACTGAAGGGAATACAAAACGTACAACCAATCTGGAAGACAGTTCTGCAGTTTCTTCCAAAGTTAAATATACACCTGCCATAAGAACCAGCCATTCCATTTTTGTGTTTATTCAAAAAGTAATGAAAACTTATGTCCATAAAGACTTGTACATTAATAATCATAGCAATTTCATTTATAGTATCTCAAAACTGCAAATACCCCAAATGTTCATTCCTGGCAAACAGATAAGCAAACTTATGGTATTTCTATACAACAGAATACTACCTAACAATAAAAAGGACTCAAATACTGATACACACTACAATAAGGAAGTCAAAGAAATTTGCCAAACAAAAGACAATCAAAAAAATAAAATGTTTTTTCTATGTGAATTCATTTACACAAAACTTTTAAAAAATGAAAACTCACCAACTGTTAAGAGAAAACAGCCCAATGACTTCCTGGAGCCTGGGAGACTTAAAAATGGGTAGAAGAAAACATTTGGCAATGATGGATGTGTTTATTCCCATCTATGATAGAAATAAACTATACAGCAAAAGTTATGAAATGGTATATTTCAAATATTTCCCATTTATTATGTCATGTATATAGAGGCTGTTTAAAAAAAAAAAGGAGTTAAACAATGGGAGATGTCTTGCAAAAAAAAGATGGGTGCTGGTCACCATTAAAGCAGCAATGACGGGCTGGGAACATAGCTTAGATGGTGGAATGCTTGCCTCGAATGCACAGGCTCTGGGTTCAATCCCTGACACCACCACCAAAAAAAAAAAAAAAAGCAGCAGCAATGAGTAACAGCATTATAACAATTATTGAACCCAGGGAACATATGTTCCACAACAGCCTCAAAAGACAGGAAGAAAGAAGTCATCTAGGGATGGGGATATAGCTCAGTTGGTAGAGTGCTTGCCTCACATGAGCAAGGCCCTGGGTTCAATCCCCAGCATCACAAAAAAAAAAAAAAAAAAAA